GGAGGGAGGGAGGGATAGATAGATAGATAGATAGATAGATAGATAGATAGATAGATAGATAGATAGATAGATAGATAGATAGATATGCACATATTCTTTACATATGCTTGTATTTTTTTTTTTTTTACTAGCCTCAATTGTTGCCCAGAAGTGGTGGTGTCAGATGGAGCCATGTATGGAAGGTGAGGAGTGTAAGGTTCTTCCAGACCTCACAGGATGGAGCTGCAGCACCGGCAACAAAGTCAAGACGACCAAGGTGAACATACACAGGATTCATTTTTGCGTCTCTGGCCATCTGAGGCAAACGCTCTGCTTCTGGTGTGCTGAGTATTTCTACTTAGCTATTTGCATAGCTAAGTATTTCTTCTCTTGTCAGACTGACCTTTGGAATATGTTTGTATGCAAATACAGACACTTTTTTTTTTTTTTTTTACATCTTCTGTGGAATAACATGATGCAGTCCCACTGGTCTACCGAATAAGTGCTGCAAAGTAAAAAGATGATTAAAAAAACCTGTTAGAACAGGTGCTCCACAGCAACTCCTTGCCAGTTCAAGTTCACAGGTAATCGTGCAGTTTGACATCCCTGCTGTCTGCCGATGCTACATTTCGAATTAATGCTGCATTTGCTGAATAAAGGCCATCTGAAGCAGTCGATTCGAACGAAAACAACCCTTCACGCTGCTGTATTTGTTAGCATCACAAACAAGCCCTCGCTTTGTGGCCTTAACATGAATATTGCAATAGCATAAACAGACACCGAATAGAATAATTCATAACGTAATGTGGTAGATAATACTTTCCCCATTACATCGCCTATATCGTGAACAACAGGGAAGTACACTGAGGTGCTGAGAGAAAAAGGAAACTTAACAGAACATCAAGTTTAAAGCTTTGGACTTCAGTTCAAATTTTGCTCAGGGAAAAGCCAAACAGGTACAAGCAAGACTCTGTAACCAACTTCTACCATGACTGTGTTCTACCTTTCCACATTATTTGTCTCTATCCTCCTTTTGTTTTTTCCCCCCACCCCACGAATTATTTTCTTCGCTTCTCTTTCTATGCTATGTTCTCCCACCAAGATCAAACGCTGAGCAAAAGCAAGGGCATGAGGAACGAGGTTTACATTCGCACTTGCCCTGCTTCCTCACACCTCAGTGGCATGCATTCCACCTCGGTGCATAAACAGCTCGCCATGTCCGCTACACCGCAATGGGAACACACCTCACATGTGCGCACACCTGCCCCTTTGCCCCGATGTGCAAATTGTGCACGCGGGCGTGCTTGTCTTGCCCGTGTGGTCTTTGCCTGAGTGTGGTCAGTGCCTGTGCCTGCACATCTTGCATTGAGCCCACCGCCTGCTCTTTGGTGACCCGAGCCGAGCGAGCTCCGAAGAGTCCGTCACACACCGGCTTTTAAGTGAAACTCACCTCTCATCACCGCACACCTCCGTTCCTCACCTCCATCCTGCTCCCTGCCTATTCGTCCTCCATTATTCATGGCTCGCTGCAGACCTTTGTTTTCAGCCTTAATAATTGATTGGAGGCGTGGCCAAAGGGGTTGAGAGTGCGCCGTTTTGGGTTGAAAAAAGAAACAAAAAGTGAAGACACAATCCATCGCTCGCAGCCACCTCACACTTTCTAAATCACTCTGAGGCGCTGTCTCTTGGACATCGGGCTGATTAAGAATTCCTTGCCTGCTGTTTTCACTCGAGACACCTGCAGCAAAGACGATGGGACCACTTCCCTCTTTAAGCACGCATGCCCGTCTGTAACTAAATACGCTTTTCCATTGTACCGATTCCACAGCAATTCAGCCTTGCTTGGCCCCGAGTGGTTATTTTCCATGAGACTTTTCCGGGACTGTACGGTTACAATGGAACCGCTTTTCAGAACGGCCGAGTGGGGCCGTTACATCATTACCATGACTAGTCTTATGAAGTTGTTTCACCGTTCTCATTGGTTTTGTTTTGTGGACATTTGAAAAGTTCTGTGCAAGATGAAAGCAAATTACAGTTTCAGGCATGGTTCTATCACTGACTAGGCTACAGTTGGAAAAAGCACAAATATTTATCGCTGGTTACATTCGGATCTTTAATCAGTAATTTGTGTGTGAATGCACTCGATGTCTGTGTGCACTTTGTGTGTTAAATGATATATTTGCTCGATGCTGAAAAGCCTTGTTTTTTTTCCTCCTTGTTGTGTGCAAGGCCGAGGTCCAGATGCACAAGCATCCAGATCAATATCAGTACACACATTCTTCTAGTCCCATTAAGACCTGCTTGTAAATTGAAATTGGCGATGGACTGGAGAGAGCAAGAGATGAGAGGGAGACGTGATGAGAGCTGTAAAAGGAAAGAGAGAGAGAAAAAAAATAAGCGGAGACTGGAGAGGAATACTGAAGACTGAGGTGGGAGGAAGATAAAAGCAGTAAAGGAAACAGTTGAAAACAAGAACATTGCACCCCATCAGCTGACAGGGAGCTTGAGCTTGTGCCCTGCATCACAGCTCAGGCAAGAATACAAAGGAGCTTTTGGCACTCTCGGTCGCTGGCTGCGAGCAGAGATGAGGTGGAGAGGAGGAGGACAAAAGGAGGAGAAAGGGAGGAGGCACAAGACAGCTCGATCAATGCCAAATCATATCCCGTGGACGAGCGTCCAGACATTGCTGGGCTGCCAAGCCGCTTGAGCTGTCATTGACCACTGTGCGAGCGTGTGCACGATATGCCATTCGCATTCTGTGTTGGGGGCGGCATCATTCAAGAGAAAATGCTGACTGCGTGAAGCACTACATGGACACAAGTATTAGGACATGCCACATTGCATGCTCCATTTCCATGCCCGAGCGACTTTTTATGTGTCCCTCCACTCTGTCTGACATTCTGCCCTTTTTCTTCTGGATTATGTTGTTTGTAGCAGCATCTTGACACACCACATAGCTTAACTTCCGTTGCTTTTAAACGTGCTCGTATAGACGGAATTTTAAAGAGCAATCGAATAGCAGTTTGGGAATTGATCAATCTGCCGCTGGTCGAGACGCTGAAGTTTTGCTTGAATCTTAATGTTTGAGCTTACCAAGGTTTGCTGGAGAATCCGACACTTCCAAATGCGTGGGAAAAGTTTGCGGAAGACCAAAAACGGGTCTTATGGTTGTGAATTCTTTTGTGCATTTATGGCACGTAAGAGCTAATTAGTGTTCTTATGTTGATATTTGAGATTTACAATGAACATTTTCTTTTAATTTCATGCAAAACATGTCAGGTTTTATTCAGAGAAAAGCTGTGCATGATACACGATGGATCCGTTTTGAAAATGGCAACGCCGGTACACCGCCGTTCAAACACTTGTAGTCTGCTCGGGATAATCAGGCCCCCTGCAGGCATATTCACGCGCAAGTAGATTAGCGTCTGAAGGGACACGCTACGGTGTGTGTGCAGAGTGCACTCGGCGAGACAACAAATGCCCGTTGACTCTTTGATCAGGCACGGGATGAGATGCCTGAAGTCAATAGGAGAGGGCCCCGGCAGTGAAGGAGCCCTGGAGCCACACTCCAAGCATCCCAGCTGCCAGCTGGGTGGAAAACGCTTTTTCTGTGCTCTCCTGACAATGGCTGGCCTTCACCACTTGGCACCTGGCGTGGACAAAAGACTGTCTTCCAGAACAGGACGGACAGGAGGACAAGCCTGTGTTTGTATGTTAAGAGGGAAAGCTGGGGGGTTGTGGGGGCGGGGAATTATGGCATAAAGGGGCATGCATGGAAACGGAGACAAGATGACATGAAAAGCCTGACCTCTTTCATCCCTGTATACAATCATGCGTGACATTAGCTGGTAGGCAATGACTCCTGTAAGAGCTAATTAGTGTTCTTATGTTGATATTTGAGATTTACAATGAACATTTTCTTTTAATTTCATGCAAAACATGTCAGGTTTTATTCAGAGAAAAGCTGTGCATGATACACGATGGATCCGTTTTGAAAATGGCAACGCCGGTACACCGCCGTTCAAACACTTGTAGTCTGCTCGGGATAATCAGGCCCCCTGCAGGCATATTCACGCGCAAGTAGATTAGCGTCTGAAGGGACACGCTACGGTGTGTGTGCAGAGTGCACTCGGCGAGACAACAAATGCCCGTTGACTCTTTGATCAGGCACGGGATGAGATGCCTGAAGTCAATAGGAGAGGGCCCCGGCAGTGAAGGAGCCCTGGAGCCACACTCCAAGCATCCCAGCTGCCAGCTGGGTGGAAAACGCTTTTTCTGTGCTCTCCTGACAATGGCTGGCCTTCACCACTTGGCACCTGGCGTGGACAAAAGACTGTCTTCCAGAACAGGACGGACAGGAGGACAAGCCTGTGTTTGTATGTTAAGAGGGAAAGCCGGGGGGGTTGTGGGGGCGGGGAATTATGGCATAAAGGGGCATGCATGGAAACGGAGACAAGATGACATGAAAAGCCTGACCTCTTTCATCCCTGTATACAATCATGCGTGACATTAGCTGGTAGGCAATGACTCCTAAAAGCCCCAAATGGCTTAAAAGCGGCCAGGCGGACCAAGAAAAATGGAAGATGGAAAGGTAAAGGTGGTAAAGAGCTCTCATGATTATAGCGGCGGTCTCCACAAACACACCAAATGACATGGCAGCACGCCAGGTGCTGAGAGCCAGGCTGACTGCCATTACGCCAGCTGCGTCTTGTTTAGTTGTGTGCCAGAAGAGAGCATGCTGGCCGTGTGCTTGTTGCGCCTACAACGAGCATCACTTTCCATGACTTTCAAAGAGACCACTGCTGCACCACTCAAGATTATTCACAGCGGGAAAGTGATCTACAGTATATACCAGCAGTCGTTCCAAACACAGAACTTTTTGTGTTTCATGCAACTTGCAGAGCTTTTGGGGGTTTCTGGATTTTCACCAGTTTCTGTTGTCTTTTTTTTTTGTTTGTTTGTTCATTTGTTTGTTTTCAGGTGACCCGATAGTTCAAGAAGACAAGTTTGTGGCGGCTGGAATGATTTTGCCACACATGTACCTGCGGACGCGGTGAAAATTTACTCTGATGGACTTGAGCAAAGATTTTGTTGAATTTCACTGAGGACATCCGAGGAATGACGGCTGAAAAGCCAGGACTTTTATGTCGCCCAACTGACCCAAACTTGTGTCTCGGTGCTTGGCTGCACAGGACTGCGGAAAACAACATCCTTCACTGGAAAAAAGCAACGTCTTAACTGAAAACTACGGGGCAAAAGACATTTTCCCTCCAGCGAACTGCATTATTCGAACCTGTTCTATGACTTAGTGGTGTTCCGTATATACAAGGGCAGTTATTGGACTTTAGAAAGAAAACTTTCATATAAAAAGTGGATCATGTACTTTCATGTACACTATGAAATTGAAAACACATGAAGCATTCAAATCTGACAAAATGTTTCTTAATAATGATACCTCTCCGTCAAAGCTTTGAAAATGTCACTTTGTAGGAATAATTTAACTTGAATAGTTTGTGGTTAACCACATTTTTTTTTAACTCTTCATCTTTTTTTTTCCCCAAGGTTGAATTTAGACAGATATCAGTTAAGTGTTCTACATGTAAAAATGCTCCATGGATTCAGTGCGGCTAAAAGTGAAGTGATGCGCAAATGGTTTTAATATCTGTGTTTCTAAATGCCTGTGTAACCGCTATTGGGTATGTGTCAGTATTATAGGGAATGAATAAAGCCTTTCAAAAAGGAAATGGAAATCTTTTTCTTGTGGTCAACTCACGCCACAGTAAAGCAGAATTTACAATGTAAAATAATGACATGAAGTCTCTTGAACCTTCCAAGAAGTTAAAAAAAAAGAAAAAGAAGTACTTTCATTCATTCATTCATTCAATTTGAAAGAACTGGCTGCAAAGTTTTAAAAACACCATTGCCACCTCCATCCACACGTCCAGTAAAACATGAAATTGTTACACGGCGCCTCTCATGAATTGACCTCTGCTATAATTGAATTCCACCTTCAAAAATGAATGTTCAACCTCGGCAGTTACATGACATAGCCACAACTTACCAACACTTGTCAGGTGAAATGTGTTGTATGTCACAAGTGGATAAGCATCTCAACATCCTTTCAGGATTTGTCACCTTCTGCCGCGCTTGTCCTACTTTCTCACAGCAAGCTATAGTGAATGGTAGTCAGACTGTTTATTGGCCTGGTACAATAGGTTGCGAGCATCTGACACGACCTAAGTTGTCTGAGAAGGGGGTATTAAGCTGCTGAACCCAGCAGGGGAGCTACAGCCAGGTCTGCCGTAGTCACAAATGTGCTCCACGCTTTATCTGTAGAAAGGCCTTGACACAATGCAAAAAAAAAAAAGAAGTGTCAGACCTTGATAAGCATGAGAGAGCCCATCAAAATGTGACAGGATGAGACACAAAATAAGGCAGACGTTCGGTTCAACTAATGACACACTGTGTGTTGGATTGCATTCACAACTGTCTTCACAGAGCCTTCTGTCGGTGATTTGCCAAATCTACCAGCAGAACCTCTCGGGGGCTTTGATCTTGTCTTGAGCCTCAATCAAATGCTGTGTGTGAGTTCCATGAGCAGGGCTAACTTTCAATTGGAGTGTCTTGTTAGTGTATATCAAGCAAGGTCACATACAGAATCATAATACTCGACCACACCGAAGAAACGAAGAAAGCAAGAGACCGCTGTGCTTTTGACACAGCAATCTGACAGTTTTAATTCCAACACGTTCACCATTTGTGTTTTAGAGCTCCACCTCAATCCAAGAATGGATCAACCTTGCGTGGTTTGCGTAAATTGTCTTTTTGTTACCGTGCAGTTCCACAAAACGTTTCACATGGCTGTTGAGGGGAGGCGCCAGGTGGAGCTGGAACTCTCCTCCTATCTGCCCGGCCGCTCTGATCTTCAGCAGGAAGGCAATGTATTAATCGTGTCATGTGTGACTCCGCTCCAAGTACTGCTCAGATGAGTCAATGCGCTCTGAGCTTAGCCGGGGCAATGAAAATTGGTTGCATCTGAAAACAGATGGTGAGCTGAGAGATGATACTGTCGGTGGATAGAAAACGATTCAGCGGGAGACTGCTGAGCAGCATAGAAAACAGAAAGCAAAACTTGCAACCTTGAAAATGATATTTGCCTCGCTGTCAACATCCTGTATTAGTAGGTGATGGATAAATGCAGTGCAACATGCAAAGTCAAACGCTTTGTAAAGCTGTCCAATTTGTGTGAGTCAATATACAAATGCCCCCTTTGAGAATTATACTTGGAATATCATGACAAAAAAATGTAATGCTCTTCACAAAATTGATGATGCACAAAACTCCCCTCACACCTTAACCCAACTTGTTTTTTAACATTTAACTATGAAAATAGTTTTTTGTTCCAAGAACCCCGAATAAAGGCTTTCTAATCCGTTTTCCTTGCTTGTAGTCATCTGCTGAGCAATGAATCTTACCGGTTCGCCGCTTTGAACATCTTTTCAAGCCTCAAGATGACACCGGTGTGCCTCAAAAGTGAGGGTAACCAAGCCCCCCCCCCCGCCCCTCCCCCATCTAGGAGATGCACACATTCCACTGTCACATGATGCTCAGACAGGGTCAGTGGAAGCTTGAATCGTGTCCTCCAGAAGAGTCCATTCAAAATTTGTACTCTCACATGGATGCCATTTTGAGGATAACTTGATGAGATCTCAAATATGTGTTGTGCATGTTTGATTATGTTCTTCAACTTGCACTATCCAGATTAATTCCTTTTGGGGAACAGTTACAGTTTTGAATGACAGTATTACTTATTTGAATGGGGAGGGGGTATTAACAAGCCCCCGACATGAGAATGCGGTTTGAGTTCATAGATTATAAAAGTTTATGCTGAGAGACTTTCTGGGTCTCCTGCTTTTTGTTCCTACTCCTCTGTTCCTCTTCTAGCCACGTGTCAGCGGCCTGCCCTGGGGTCCTCACCTCTTGCTTCCTTCTCAGCCTAAAAATTTTTTTCCCCCTCCTTCTTGGCAGTACTCCAGTATTGTGCGTCCACCTCGCAAAAAGAAGAGGATACAGACATGAACTGAGCCCATGCTCAGCTCAAACTTGTTGGGCACACGGGAGAACTCCTTTCTGTGCACCTCTGAGAAGGGCACAGAAGGGAGACTCCAATAGCCCGGTGCTGTCCGGTCGCATTCGAGAGGTCTCATGTGAGGAGCGAGATCACCTTTTCCTTTATTTCTTGTCTTTTTCTTTTTCCTCTTCCCTTTTATATTTTTTCCTCCAACTTCTTCCTGCCGGCTCCTGGCTTCAACAGCTTGGCCTCGAGATCCAATCAGGAGGAACTTCTCACAGCTCTCCTATTCTGAGACAATCAGTGAGTGCAACATCTTGCAAATCAAGAGCGTACAAATTGGTTCTGAAAACGGAGTTAAGGGGTTAATTGGTTCATGAGCCTCATCTCCATCTTTTTAGAATATTAACACGACTTCAATTTTTCTTGTTTTTATTGTCTTATTTTATTTTAATCCATTACCTTTTCATTCTTTGCTACTCTTTTCAGCGTAATTAGTTTCCTTATGACGGACCTCTTGGAATTCCCATGGAGATTTAGAGAATCACCGTCCACACCATAAAACTGCATTGTGTACGGTGTGTTTGCTGAAATAAAAGTTAACTTTTTGGCTTCCAAATAAACTCGAAACTCTTCAAATATATCAGCCTTCTATTTAATAAGTGATTTCATTTTTTTCATCTGCTTGAGCCTTTTAAATTGAATAATGAAAAAAAAGAAATGGTTCCCCGAGGGGCCGGTGAGTGTACTGCAGGCAGAATACTACAGTCACCGTTATATAATTAAATAAAAATGACATAATATCGCTACAGTGGTTTCATGGGATCGAACAAGTCAGACCTTTCCTATTTTTCTCCTTTGACCAATGCCACTGTGGCTGGGCTACAGCATCATTCTCGTGATCATATTCTTTACGATTCAATGCAACATCCGGTGTTGAGCTCGCGTCACACCATAATCCTTTTCTTGTCTGATTCTTTCGCTCTTGACACACACATAATGACATGAGAGGATGGTGAGGCGAGTCAAAGGCAGGGAGTAATAATGGAGGGGGGAGGTCTGTGACGTTAGTGGGAAGTGATGGCCTAAAAATAATACGGCTTCTGTCGTGAGACTTGGAGAACAGAGACGATCTGAGCAGGTTACAAATGAACTCAACTGATCAGAGTGACATGTAATTCAGCAGAGACTGCGTGTGTCACACCAAGAATGTGTGTCTGTGCGCATGTATGTGTGTGTGTGTGTGTGTGTGTGTGCGTGCGTGTTTGTGTGTGTGTGTGGGGGGGGGCGGGGGGGGCACAGATAAGCAGCATGGGTCCAAGGAGTCCTGCACATGGGGGGTTAACCTGTCACTTCGCTCCAAAGTACTTCCTTCTATCCACTCGCACTCATACAAATGCACACAGGCCTGAATTTGACGATGTCATTGAAAGCATATCGCACAGGAGGTGGAGGCCCCGTTTTCTTTTTCATACTGTGTTTGAGAATCAGAGAGGGGGTCCACACACCATGTAACGTATTCATGGAAATGATGAAATGAATCTTCACTTTTCTGTCGCGGCTGCTCGCGGCTGCTCAGTACCATATTACCCATACCAGTAGGGTGGTTGGTACTCACAGTAAGACGACATTGATACCGAGTTGAAGGAATCACTGTGTTCAGCACACATGATCAGAGTTAAGCATGACTTTGACTGCAAAACAGTTTTGCTTCTAGTTTAAGTTAAGTCCCTCTCAAGAGAAAATAAATATCTTCCAAATCTGACATACCTGTACTATGGAGAAGAGTGCTGTCAACAACACTGACAAATTAGTGGCCCCAAAAAAAAAAAAAAGAGCCCATTGTCTTCACTCTCAGATGCTGCGTGCGTGTCCACTGAATGCACTGAAAACACTCTCCGCTCAGCTGTCAAATGTCAATCAAATAGCTGTTACTTGGTGGTGCTAGTGAAGTGATTTGAGGACAGGTGTGATGTGGTCCGATTTTCTGGTGTTTGTAAGGACTCCGGTGGCAGCATTTGACATCAGCTGCACGTATTTGTTTTCAGATAATTTGATCCTTGTTACTTTTTTTTCATTATTTTTGTTTGTATCATTTATTTGGAAAATAAAACCATTATTGAACGCATCCTGCCTTCCTGCTTCCCTGCAGCTCAATCCTCAACATTGCCCAACGTAATGGCTCCATTCAAATCTTGCTAGCAGTTTCGAGGTTACCTGCGTGCTCCACCTTTTTAATAGTGCAGGAAAACGTTAATAATCTGCAATTTTCAAATCTGTTTGGAATTGCTCTG